ACAAAACGGCGACATTCAACAAAGTTTGACTCGCAATTGAAAGATGCAAGGTTTCAATGTAGAACACACCAGGAATTAGCGTCAAAACAAACACCAGTTTTCAGCTCATTTCCGGTTATTTTCTATTACCAATGAAAATCGGGCACGAACTTTTGCAATGACTCGCTACATCAATTACGCACACTCGATACTCGTATACGAAATTCGACACAAAAATGATAAGAACACTAACATCTCATTTTAACATATATTTAGCAAAATTAAAATAAAATATCTTGAAATACGAAAGATTAAATTCATTCAATAAAATCGCCATTAGTTTCAACCACAGCCTGCAGACGACTTCGGAATCTCCTGCAACACTTCTGGACGGTCTCCTTGTTTAAGCTGATGAATGCTGATATAATACTTGCCTTCAGTTCATCTTTGGTGTTACAAGGAGTTTTGTTGATCTCTTGCTCAACTGCGCCCCACATATAATAATCAATGGGGTTGCAGCCTGGGAAGTTAGGTTGGCAGATGTAAGGGGTGATATGGTCGCAGAAATTGTTTGACAGCCATAAATTTGTTCTCTTGTCTGTGTGACATGGTACAGAGTCCTTTAGCCTTCCAGCAGCCACCCTCTTGATCCATAGCAGCACTACTTGATGTAGGCCTCTGTGGTAAGTCTGAGGCCCTGTGGGAAGATGAAGGCATAACGCCACCATCATTAGTGATCACACTAAACACCTTCGTAATCAGCATTAGACTCGTCTAACTTTTTCCGAATTTTCTGCACTGTTCTCAGATTGACACCCAAACACTCTGAAAATGTTCGTATTGGAGCTTCCGGTGCGAATGCCAAGCAGTACAGAATGCCGTCTCCAAATTTCTGGTGGAGTAAATTTCGTTATGGTGCTCTTTTTCTCACCAACTGACGCTACTATACTGCGCAGTCGATAAAATCAAAAACAATTCGTGAAATGAAAAATATAAGATGGCGACCCATCGCACTCTGTGTGTGTGTGTATATATATATATATATATATATATATATATAAGTGCATAGGATAAATCGAGTATGTCTTTTTAATATAAAATATTAAAAACATAGATCCATAGAGAGCTCAATGTATAAAATACAGAGCAATAAGAAAGTGCTTTCGGTGATGCGTTAAGTTATTCTTTTTGATATATATATATATATATATATACACACATACACACACACAAGTTTTAAGGTATGCTATATTTAAAGGTTAAAGTGCCCAATATCACGTATAGCGCTTAGGAAAATATAAAAGTGAACACCGGACAAAATTCTGATACATGTTTAAGCGCAATCTCCAGGCCATGTGGAGATATATATATATATATATATATATATATAACATTTTAACATTTTTCCCTTGGAAGTATGGTCTGATGAACCAGTAAAAACCATATTCTTGGGGAAATAAATTATAACCAATGAACCCTTAAGTTTGTCTGTTTTCTATATTAAATTCAATTTTATATATATATATACACACATACACATATATATATATATATATATATATATATATATATATATATATATATATATAATTTAATGCCACAGAGTGCATAAATAAATTTAAACAAACACCGTTTAGGGAGAAACACTTCTTCAGGGAGTAACGTTGGCAAAATTATTGTATCAGGAAGATTTGGAGTGCGTCTAAAACATGTAAATTAACGATTAAAATGCACGTAAATTCAAAAGATTGTAAATACTCCAACGTAAGTGTAAAATATGAAAGAAATTAATCCTCACGATCCCCCCGAAGAAGATTCTCCTTCTGCTGACATAAGAAGGTTGCTGTAATTTGATACATACAGCTCCCAACACTTGCAAATGTAGTTTGGAACGAGCTTTAAGTAAAATAGAGAATGAGTTCATAGAAAATTTGGAAGAGCAGAGCTCATTCTAAAAAAATGTGTTGTCCAATCACAAATTGCGGAATTGAGTGTAATATACACACACACACTATATATATATATATATATATATATATATATATATATATATATATATATATATATATAGAAAGGTGTCCTCCCAAGATTGACATCATTTTGTAGTCTCATATCACAGCCAATTCTCACTCAAATGAACTCACTTTTTACAGATTTTGTTAAAATTTAAGTTTACTATGCGGATTTATCTTAATGAGAATCTACCATATATATATATATATATATATAACTTTCCCATTCGTCAGATACTGAGAGTTATGAACTATTCAATATGGTTGTTTTTTGTTTGTTTTAAATTCTGTGTCTCATGAGAGCAACACTACATTCTATGTAGATTCAAAACACAAGCTTATAAATTTACTATGATATTTGGGGTATAAATTATATATGTGTGTATGTATGTCTTACTCATAATCTTTCGCCGTATCCGCATTCGGCAGAATGCAAACACGTGTTTTTTTTTTTTTTTTTTTTTTTTTTTTTTTTTAACATTCTCTCGAGGTGTCTGGCTGCTGGGAGGGGATGGGAGGTCTGAACAGTTCACTCAACGCATACTCGCTCACAAGCCTTGGGTCAACCCGCGGTGTGGTTTTTCGGGCCCTCACGCTGGGATTGGATCCCCAGGCTGGTCTTATCAGGAAGTTACTTCCTTGACTAATTGTCTATTTGGCCACGCGCCTCTTGATAAGATATTTGCTAAACCCTTAAAAATCAGGAAAAGTTTAGAGGATCGTGCGCGCCAAAGGAGAAAGAAACGATAAAATTTACTTTTTACTATAGTTTTTTATTTATTTTTTTTTTTTTTTTTTTTTTCTTAAATTTATTATATGTGAAATAGTTTGAAATATTTTAACTCCTTTAGATTATGAAAATAAAGTTAAAGGGAATTAATGTCTAGCAATACGAATTGAAGATTCAGAGAGCAAAGTTTCTTCGAGTTCATTACATTAATTTACGTACTAATACCCTTGGGAAAGGTATGAATCCAACACTTAAAATGTAAGACAGACTGGATTCTATATCCTTGGATTACAACCAGACTAGGAAGAAGAAAACTGATTGGTTTGGTTAATTTTGTTTTACGGTATATCAACCTCAATGGGTTATTTAATTCCAACAAGATTTTTATTGCTGGTAATATTTTTTATAAAAAATATATTGCTGGTAATAATTTTTCCTTCAAAAATTCAATGCTGGTTATAAGCTTTTGTCAAAATGTATTGCTGGTATTAAAACCTATTTTTACACTTAAACATAGTGTTTTGACCCCAGTTTTGGGGGATAGCTATTTGCTCATAGCTGGGACCCTAACAGGTACTACCACCCCGGGTCAGGGTAGACCTGGGAACACCAGCAATTAAGAGCTGGTTTTACGCTCCCGAAAACCTCCTGATCAAAGTCATTGCTGTCGGATGTAGTTTATCGACTTACCTCGGAGAAGGAAAACTGAATTCAAAACTGTATGTCGTCCTGGCGAAGCACCTATTATACAGGTTCTTTTTAGCATAGGCGTGAAATAAGTTTTGGTTTGTTTGTTTAACGGCATATCAACATCCTAATGGGTCATTTAATGCCGAAATTTTATTGTGAGTTTTTTTTTTTTACAGATTGCGACATCTATCAGAGTGATGAAATTTTTATTATTACATTATTCCAAAAATTCTAACACATCTAACAATTGAGCACAAATAGTTATTAATTAAAGAAAATTAGTAATTAATATATAATATCCATAACGATATGTACAGGAATGTCGTTTTTGATAAGTTAAAAAATAACTTATAAATAAGTAAAAAAAATTGTATATTGTGGAAAATTTTATACAATATAGCTATTTCTGCTATGTGATAGTGCTTATCACATAAACAATAATAGTGAATAATTTTTTTAAACATTAAAGTATATTTAATCACATTTTTTCTAATAGATGTCACGTTCTATAATTTCTTTTTACTATGAAAAGATACTGCTGGCAAATTTTTTTTTTTTTTTTTTTTTTGTAATGTTTTTATATTTTTGTTTTGACCCCAGTTTGAGGGTTTACTATTTGCCCATAGCTGGGACCCTAAAATGTGCTATCACCCGCGGGTCAGGCTAGATTAAGGGGTAGTTCCACGCTCTTCAAAACCTCCAGATCAGAGGTCTTGTTGCCGGATGTAGTTTATCGTCATGCCCAGAACTATGAAATAAGTTTTCTTAATTCACGTGCGGGTGGTGTAATAAATAGCAGCTCGGAATGTGAATTCGGAAAGCCGAGTTCGAATTCCAGTTGAGTTGGTTTCATTCACTTACGCAAAAATACCCTTGCGAAAGGTATGTATCCATCACTTCTCCTTTCAATTGTGGGGCTAAATAGTAGGACTTGTATCTGAAAAATTATTATGTCTAAAATAAATGTTAATACAGAATTCGCTCTCTCAAAAAAAAAAAAAAAAAACAATTATTCTTGCAATTCAAAAAATGTTTCTGTTTGTAATAACCTACAAAGGTTGACAAACCATAAAAACAAACAATTCAATCGATTAACCCATCTACGGAATCACCTCCTATATAGCAATTTACTAAGTGTAGTTTAGATGTGGCACAAGGCCGAAAGTATGGAGCACCAAGTGATAATAGAACTCACTAGTCGGTCGTAATTGATCTTGCGAGACAAGCTTTCTAAACATTACACCGCGTCGAAGTGTCCAGCTGATTTTTCTAAGCGTAGTTTAGATGTGGCACAAGGCCGAAAGTGTGGAGCATCCAGTCAGGATTGAACTCGCTAGTCAGTCGTAATTGACCTGGTGAGGTAAGCTTGCTAACCATTACACCACGTTGAAGTGCCCATCTCTATACAGACCCCTTTTCAGGTAGGGATATATTACCCGCCTTGGGGACCAACGTAAAGAACTTTGGCTTTTATGGTAACAGAATCATTGCCCCTAATGGAAGTGGGCAGGGGGGGGGGATACACGTCTCTACTTCCAGCCAGATCATATCATGAGGCGTGAGCAAAAATTACAATTGTGTGTTTTGGCTTACGGCCGCATCACGTTGAAACATCAGTTCTCGTACGAACACCGAAGTTAAGCAACGTTGAGACTTGGTCAGTACCGGGATGGGTGACCGTTTAGGAATACAAGCTTAGATATGCGGGTGTTGTAATGAATAATGGCTCTGGGTTGTTAATCGGAGAGTCGAGTTTTCGTATGATCACTGAAGTTAAGCAAAGTCGAGGCTGGTCAGTACCTAAATGGTTGACCGCTTGGGAATACCAGGTACTGTGATCTTGGATGTGCGGGTGGTGTAAAAAATAATGGCTCTCGGTTATTAATCGGAGAGCCAATTTCCAATTCCCGTTGGGTTCATTATATTCATATGCGCAAATGCTCTTGCGAAAGGCATGAATCCAATTCTTCTCTTCCCAGACATGGATTAATAAGACTTGTATCACTAAACCATTATTATCTAAAAAAAAAAAAATGTCTTAGAATCTAAAAATATTTTCTGGCTTTAAATATCCTGGAAAGGGTTGATAAGCCGTAAAAACGAATCGATCAAATTAAGTGTGTTTTATAACTAGACTGAATATTGTGTCGTCGTCGTTTCAGTCGAAGTTGTCCAGTTCACTTCGTCGTCGATGGATTACTGTGTGACTGATTTAAACCAAGATATGAACGACCTACTTTTCCTGCAAGTAGGACTTCCGAAAAGATCTTGGATGATAGTCGCGGAAGAATTCTGCCCTTGGCGGTCTTTAACGGCGCTATCCGCCTACTGGACTAACTTTTCTGGCTTGAACAGCGCTGATGCAGACAAGTTTCCAATTGGTCCGATCACCAGGCAACTTTCCTAATTAGCTTATAGCGAAGATGTTAGAGGATGACCCTGTATCGCCTGGACCGACCACCAGCCGCTGTTTCGGCCGCTTCCACTTGGAATCTGTTGAAAAGAAATATTACCGTAATTTCTCGAAAATAATGCGCACCCATAAATAATACGCGCCCCAACAAATGGTCCAAAAATTAAGGAATGTATCTATCCCTAGGTATAATACGCATCTATATTTTTTTTTCAAAAAAGAAAAAAAATAATTACGCAGACATTTTGTCGATCTAGACATTCAGAATAAAATCAAAACCAAGTGGTTAAAATAATGTGGAAAATTACCATGTGGTTTTCCTGATAAATATAACATTTTATTTTACTGCTAAAATGTCAATGTGTGAGTTAAAGTGTAAATTTTAAACAAAAAGTAATAGAGTTCGCAGAAAGAATAGGAAACAGATCTGCAGCTAAAGAATAGGAATTGAATGAGGCTAACATACGTTTATGGAGAAAGAATAAAAATGAACTAAAAAAGTGTAAATCAAGTGCCAAAGCCATAGGTAGAGGAAGAAAAGCTCAATATCCAGATATGGAACAAAGTTTAGTTGAATTTGTGAAAGAGTGACGATCAAGTAGATGTTTCATAAGTACTGTGGAAATAAGGATGAAGGCAAAAGAACTTATGAAAACCATGTATCCTGGAAACACATTTAAAGCTTCAGCAAACTGGTGTTTTCTTTTTATGAAGAGGTTTGATATATTATCCATAGCCCAGCATTTGCCTGTTGACTATGAAGGTAAGCTTTTGAATTTTCAGTATTTTGTTATTCAGCTAAGAAAAAAGCACAACTATCCTTTAGGCCATATTGGAAATGCTGACCAAACATCCTTGACTTTTGATGTGCCATATTTTGTTTTCAAACTCTGAAATTCAAAGGGGGGGAAGTCTGTTCCAATAAAACAACTGGAAATGAGAAGAATCGGTTCACAGTCATGCTTTTGTGCATATGGTGATATTAAGAAGATGTCCCCTTTATGTAATTTTTTAACGGAAAACTCTGCCAAAAAATGTTGAGTGTCCAGCAGGTATGATAGTAAAATGTCATGAAAAAGGGTGGATGGATGAGAATCTCACAAAGGACTCGCTGCTGAATGTTTGGTGTAAACACAAAACAGAATTTGCAAGAAGTAGATGTATGTTGGTTCTTGATTCATTTCATTGTCATAGGATGCTTTGCATGAAGAATATACTTCAGGAGAAGAGGATTGTTCTTGTTATTATACCAGGGGAGAATGACTGGCCAACTTCAAGTAATGAATGTTGTCTGCAACTGTCCATTTAAACAAGAGATGCATTAAAAATGGAATGACAGGATGTTCCCAGTTTTACTGCTGGTGGCAACAGGAAAAAAAACCAGAGTTGGAATTTATTGTAAAATGGATTCAGGAATCTTGGGATTCTGTCATTGAGGATGTTATAAAGAGATGTTTCAAGAAGTGTTGTCCCACGACAGACATGAATGGCTTCGAAGATGACATCCTTTGGCAAGCGAATGAAGAGGCAGAAGATAATTTTGAACAAGACGAAGATAATATTGTGAATGATAAATTGTTTAATGACAATTTAGATATTGATTCGATAATAAAAGGTGGTGATGATGAAAATTAAAATTTCAATAAATTATTAACTTGATATCCTCTTTTCTTGAAAATTGGCCTTTTTATAGATTTTTTTTATTATTTTTGCGCCAAATAAAAAACGCGGTTACTGATAAACATAAAGTTATTGACAAAAAAAATGTTACAATTATTATTGTTGGATTTAAAATGAAAATTTAGATAAAAACTTAATTTAGAGCAAGTACGTATTTATTATTATAAATCGGTAACGAAAAAAATATTTTTGTTTAAACCTATTTATAATACGCACCCCTGCCGATCACCTGTAAGTTACATTAAAAAAAAAAGTGTATTTTCGAGAAAATACGATATATGAAATAACTTCTCAAACATCTGCACAGACGTCATCCTAAAAAGCATGACAAACCTAACAAATTCTATAGCTTTATTGATTAAAACTCATTGTGGATTTTTGAGCTTCAACGAATTACTCTACCCATTCCTAATATATTCGCCATTTTCATTAACGCGTCTTCGTTGGTCCATTCCCCGACATTCATAAAATCTTGTAACTTGCATCCGACAAAACTTCAACGGTCTGTGGAGAATACACCTGTTAAAGATGGCAAAAAATTCCTCATCTAAAAAGTACCAGCAGTTTGCCATAAATTACTCGGAATAGTTTTTATTTTTGTTTAGATTCATCTTTGCATTCCATGGTTTGGTTATCCGGGGCGGGTTTTTTTTTTCTTAACGAAGAGCTGCTATCATTCTAGTTATGGAATGTTTTCAAAAATGCAACATTTTCATTTTATATTGAATTTTTTTTTTTTTATTATCTATCCATTACTTTTTAGAAATTTCTTCTGCCGTACCTAGATTTTATAAGTTTAGCGCCAAGGTCTCCTCATTTTACAGTTGAAATTGCTAGACGTAACCGTAAGATCTATACTAAGTTTCTTTTCTCGCACTTCTCGCTTGTGGAACTCTCTTCCCGCCGATTGCTTCCCAGTCAAAAAAATATAAATGCAATGTTAATCGTTATATTCTGTTTTAATTCTTGTTCATTTATTGACCTTTCTCCTTAATAGTACATTATTCTCATATTTTCTAACACTCACTAAACACTTGCGTCTCAGTGGCTTTATTACCTTGTTTTAGGCGAAATGATTTAAAATAAAAAGGCCGTCATGTTAATTAAGTTTTCAAATTTTCATTGTAATAGTCCAGACTCGAATTTGTTTAAATTGGAAATTCTCATCAAAGTAAACCTAGTTTGAGGATAGCCTGAATTTTTAGTCGAATTATTTTCTCACTATTTACATTATTCTAGTTCCACATGCCTTGTCTAATGGATGTCACTTATCAGTTATCTCCTGTTAATTCCCCTCTCCAAGTTATCCACTGCCTTAACCAGATATTGAACTCGCACTGTTTGGGTTCTGTTACTGGATCTAATCAACGCCTTTATCCACAGTGAAGAAGGCCGGAGTGTACAACGGCCGAAACGTTGTAATAAACATGGTGACAAAGATGATGACAATAGTCCGAATAATGTAAATAGTGCACATAATACCTCATCTCAGAAATATAGACATATACTCAAATTTTCTTCAATTACTGTATTTTTTTCTCGCCCCCAAGCAAGGTAACAATGCCACTAGGACGCTTGGTGAGGTTACAGGGAGTGAACGGAAACGTCAAGACTATTAAGGAGAAGTGAGGAAATGGCAGTAAAGGAACAGAGTTCAGAAAGACAGAAAATGGCGATTGACGTTGCATTTAATTTTCTAAAGATTGTAGTTATCAGGGAAGCAAGAAATCGGAAGGGAGTTTCGCAGGCGAGAGATCATTGATGAATATCGGAAACAACGTAGGCCCATGGATGGTGCAACACCTCATTAGTATGAAATAATACCGAAACACTCTCTCTCTCTCGTGTGTATATATATATATATATATATATATATATATATATATATATATATATATATATATATATTATATAAAGGTGACCTGACGATTGCGTCTAACATGAAACAGCCTATCGCCTCTGTGTTTATGTTCACTTTTATATTTACATACGCTCTATCTCTGATATTGAACACTTTATCCCATAAGTATAGCACACCTTAAAACTATATTTCACACACACACACACACACACACATATCTAATATATATATATATATAATGAAACTACATATCTAGGTTTCACCTAAATGGACCTTCAGGGCGTACTGGGTGAAGAGGATATGAAAAGAAGGAACATTTGGTAAAAACAAACATTAAAAACTAAAATTAGCATAAAAAAATAATTATTATTCTTTTGTTCCGTTTATATTTTTATACTCTGCTCTATTTAGTGTATTGATAGATTCCATTTTTTTTTCTCTTTTTTTACTGGATTGTTTTTTTTTTTTTTTTCCCTTCCTGACAAATCGACCATGGTGAGATTCGAACCCGGGACTCAATGGCCAGAATGCGAACGTTCTAACCACACGGTCACTCTCCATTTATTGAGATTTCTTGAATCTGCAGACCAATTGACCTGATACACCCTGTTTGAATAAAAAATAAAAATGCGGTGTCTATTTCAAATACGAATATCCATTAAAAATAACGTTTGAAGTTAAACAAACTAGAAATGGCTGAAGGTGACTATATTAGTCTTTGGTTTTAGAAAATATGA